TTCTTTAACGTCTTTGCAACTTTGAGAATAAGTCTGTTCGGATAACGCCGTTGGGAAATTCCGGTTCGGAAAACGCGGCTACAAATCTTCACTAGCTATCCAAGATAGCGTCAGCCTTTTTTCTCTCCCCATATTCTCCCCCTCCGCCTCTCCCTCCCCCCCCCCCCCGCTTCCCCCTCCTCTCCCATTCTTCCCCGCTTCGGCCTTTCCCCCTCTTTTCCTCGGTTCCGCCGTCCAGGCGACGCCTTGGCGATTCGCTCAGCCTTGGCGATTCGTACAGCCTTGGCGATTTGTACAGCCTTGGCGATTCGTACAGCCGTGGGGCCCGTCATCTCTTGCATGCTCGGCATTGCCACGTCATTCAGCCACTATGTGACGTGTCAAGCTGCCGCATGCAACGCTTAAGTCCTGGTGGTTTGACTATGCCTCCTCTGATTCTCGTTTCTGGTGTAAGCTGTGAGTATGTGAGTTTCCGAGCTGACCATTTGTGCTATTTCTTTTGTGACTGTATTGAAGTTGAATTCACAGCTTCCATGTTGACTCCAGCTGACTGCTGACTTTGAACCACCGTTTGCCAGTGATGGTGTGTTGTTTTGATGTGGTTGATTCTGAAGCATCAAAGTAAAGTACATTCTGCCACCCACGTCTCCCTCCGGCTTCCCTGCCCGCATCTGTCTGTCTGTGTCGATCCACACCTATGTTGGAAAAGTCGCTCCCACCGCATTATACGCAGGCGTATATACGCTTGCGTATAGTGCGTTATGCGCTTCGTGAGTGACTTTGAAAGTCGCAGAAAGTACGCTGCCCGGGCAGCAAAAGGTTTTTACCGGGCAGACGAAAAAAAGCGCCGAAGGAGGGGGGGGGAGTGGTGGTTTTACCGAATTTCATATATTGAAAAAACCTTACATTCTCAACTACTCTAAGCAAGCAACATGCATCTCTCCTACCCCACCCCCTAGCAACAGGCTCGGGGTAGGGTAGGAGAGATGCATTCTCAACTACTCTAAGCAAGCAACATGCAACTCCTCTACTTGTACTCATCCTCCAGCTCATCCTCCTCCCCCTCCTCTTCGTCCTCCTCCAGAACCTCGTTGTACCCTTCCGGCAGGGAGGCCTCAGGGATGTTCCCGAGAGAACCGTCACCCCCTCAGCCCCCTTGTGCCAGTTGCGCACAATGTTCCAATTGTGCGCAACATACATGAGGTCCCGACACTTCTCGGACCCCAACCTGTTGCGCTTGGCAGTGTGGATCGATTCCCACACTGCCCAGTTCCTCTCACACGCCGATGCGGACACTGGCTGAGAGAGAACGCGGCAAGCGAGCGTTGTCAGCTCGGGGTGCTCCGTCCCGTGCCACGTCCACCACTGGACGGCCGTCTTCTTACCGGCCTTCACGAGCCCACAGTCAGAGATGGCGTCGGGTAGGCCGAAGCTCCCCTGAAGGGTGTTGAATGCCGTCAGGCCGTACTGGATGACGTGGGATGCGCGCAGCTCCTCGCCCTCCTTGCGCGTGACGGTCCGCCCTGCGTAGTGACGAGCGACAAACGCTTTGAAGACGCGAGTACACTCCAGGTCGGTGCGGAAGATGCCTTCCTCTTGGTTGACCGGGTTGAGGATCCGGCCAACCACGTGCATGGCACACGCCATGCTATGGTCCCAGCGCTTTTGGACGATGTTGGTCACCTCCGTGCGTTCACTGCTGGACAGCACCAATCCCGCCTCCTCCTCCTCCAGCTTCGCATTGATGTCTTCCGTGAGCTGCAGCATCAGATCGTACATCCTGCCCATCATGCCCTTGGCCGTCGAGTCGGTCTTGCGCATGACGACAAAGGGGATCTTCAGGAGGGCGACGAAGAACCCCGCACCTTTCTACCACACGGCATCCATGATCATGGTTGCGAAGGGCTCGATCGGCGGCTTCCTCCCCTTCGCCCAAGCCTGCCACTCCGGCTCAACACCATCTGCGTCAATGCACTCCGCACCTCGCAAAGCCGCTGCACCGCGATGAATTGCGTTCCAAATCTGGTGCCCGCCGGCTTCAGCACCTGCTTCCCCTTCCCTCCCTTCACCTGCGGGCTTCGCATGTAACCTTTGGTGAAATGGTGGCCACGCACAAAGGTAATAATCACCCCCGCCTTAGCCATAATGTCCTTCGCCCAATCCATTTCACCAATGTCCTCCATGAGCAGATCCATGACGTGAGTAGTGCACGGCACATGCTCAATGTGAGGATACTCAAGCATGAGTTCCCTACATGCAGCCGCATAATTGCTGCCCCCATCCATGCATAACGCAACTATGTTGGCGGGCCCCACCTTCTCAATGATCGGGCGCAAAACGGATGCAATGTAACCTCCCGTCTTCATCTCCAACTTACAGTCGATGCTTTTTGTGAACAATGCACCGGAATCGTTGATGAGCAGGATGTTGGCTTGGGGACGGCCACTTTTGTCCGTCATCATGTCCGAGCCTATCGTCACGCCATCCCGCTTCCAGCTCGCAGTGATGGGAGCGAGCCCCCTCTCGATCTTTTCGCGGCAGCGCGCAAGGCCGGCACCACCAACATACCGCCGCTTCGGGGGAACGTAGCCATGGCCCGCGTCCGTGATGCAGCGCACAGCGTTGCGCCAGAGAGGGTGATCGGCGAGATGCTCCGGGAGGTGAAGTGCCGCCCACATGAGGCAGATGGCGTCGTCTGCCGATTCCTTCGCACACGACGCCCCTTCCCCGTAGAAGTCTTCGATGCACTGCTTCTTCGCTCCACCCGCACACGCCTCGATCGCCATCTCCTCCGCCTTCTTCTTCCCTTCCCTGCGGGCGTGTTTGCCTTTGTACAATTCGCGGACGGCGCAGCGGTCAGCAGAAGGGATAGGCGCCTTGCAAAGACGGACGTCCTTCCGTTTCAGCCCTTTCCAGCGCGTGATGTGTTGCGCGCAATGGAAGGCGCCCCCTACGAACTTAAGCTTGCAGTGCCGGCATATGCGGAGAGTACGCTCAGGACCATTCGAGGTACCTTCGGTAGAGGTAAGGAAATGCTTAAAAATAACATGGGTCTTCACAGGAACATCCTCGTCGTCCGCCATGGTCGCGTCATTCGAAACACTAGGAGCCTCACTAGTGGCACTTGCGGGAGTACCAGAAGGAGTCGACATCAAATGCAGGTGAGCGGGAGTGTTGAGAGAGAATGAACGAGGAGAGAGATAGTACAGATGACGGGAATGAGAGCTTACCTTATAGTCCAGGATGTGGTTGAACCACCTACGCTGGTTGACGACATTCGTGTTTGTGTGTTAGAGTTGCGCGATAACATAGGGTGCAGTGCGGTTCAAATTTTCCCACGTCCCCACATTTTGACAGGTGTGGGTGACAATGTGGTTGGGACGTGCGTACAAATTGGGGTGGGACGTGCATACACTTTGAGTCGCGTCGCACATTCGCAATTCGTGCGCGACTGTTGAAATCTGTTTTTTTTTTTTCGGGTCAGCCCGAACTTTCGCCAACGAATATACGTACGACTTGCGTACACAACTATACGGAGTGCGCTTATGGTTTCTGGAGACTTTTCCAACATCACACCCGCTCTCCGTCCCGCTGCAAAGCAGCAGGTCTCCCAGACGCGCCTGTCATTCAAGGGCCCTTAGCACTGCTTTCAACCGCCGCACATGCAGCAGTACACTCACTTTCGCTTTTTTCTCGTATATGCTCTTTCCGTTTCTTCCCAGCGCACATAGTTCCATCTCCTCCCATCTTCTGTATTCCTTCTTCTCCATGCAATATCTAAAACTCCGGGCTGTTGGATTGAACCGCCTTGGACGCCATTCAAGTGCAGATATACGGTAGTAATTGCTCTCTTCCCCTTTCCCTCCACTTATCTCCTCTGCCCCACTTTCTCCCGTTCCACCCATGTTTCCCCTATCTGCTCGCATCAGACAATCGTTTCTGAGCCCGCAGCTGTCAGCACGAGTTTCTCCAGCGGCAGTGCCGTCAGCACCGGCAATGGCAGTGTCAGTGGCTCATCTCCCGCCTCCTGCTCCTCCTTGCTGCACCCAGACGACCTGGCAAGAGTGGTGCTGCGTGAGCCTGCAGAACCCGCTGCAGCAGGCAGAGCAGAGGGCAGAGCAAAGGTGAGAGTAGAGGGCGGAACAATTGCACGGGGGCTTACAGACGAGTGCGCAGCAAAGGGGCGTGGGCATTAAAGGTCATGACAGAGGTGGCTTGGGGTCCTGAGTCTGGTTCGCGGCCCGGGCAATTTGCCTTGTGCCGCTGCCTTGGATCCGCTCGGAGAAGAGCCTTGGAAGGTTGGGAAAGGAAGTGATGGGAAGATGGTCTCAGAGGCCGGTCCTGAGCTTGCTAGGGCGCTAGGGCGCTGGGGTGAATTGGTTGCCTTCGTTACAGGGTCACTTCAACTCAGGTTGGGGCCATAATGAGAACAAGCCCGAGTCTGTTGAGAGTCTTTGGGAAATATCGCAAGCTGTTACCATGTCATGCGACTCATGCCAGTCACTCAGAATCCGGAGTTCACTCATTCAGTTGTGCCATAACAACTACTCTTTCCCATGCCACCCATTCCGAAAATCACGCCACTGAGAGAACTCCAAGTTCTGACTTAATGCCAGCCCAACCCCACTCGTACCCCGCCCGTCAGCTCGTATTTGCAAGGACTTCCCAATTCCACCCCACCCACGCTGCTTGCGATACGTGAGTGGATTACTACTCATACGTTCTTGCCTTACCTTGGACTGCTTCCCCACAGGTCACCTATCCTCTAGGCCATGTTAGAGTCGCTGAGTGCCGATTTCACGTTGCGGCACTCCCGCAATCACCATCTTCTATCCCTGATGACCGCTATCATGTCACACCCGTTTTTCGGGTCTCATTCCAATCACCGGCTAGCCTTCAAGGTCGATGGATCTTGTTTTCTTTATGAACCTCTCTCCACTCCACCATGATCTCGCCCAAGGAAATCCAGTCAGCGACACATATGAACAACAATCCCAACGATGCTCCCTCTAACTCCTCTCTGCCCACTCCCCATTCCCTACGATTCCCCACTGCCCATTCCCCATACCCTGCAATTCCCCTCTGCTCATTCCCCACTGCCCATTTCCCTGCGATTCCTTGCCCCCTTCCCCTCTGCTTATTATCCCATCCCCACAATTCCGTTCCCCACTTCCCTCTGCCCGTTTCCCCTTTTCCTGCAATTCCTTTCTCAGTTCCTGCACCCTCCTATCCCATTTCCCTCGTTTCTTCCCAATTGTACTTATCGTAATCAGGGCTGTGGCTGCTGTCTGTGCTGTGCTGTTTTGTGCAGGCAGAGCTGTTTGATGCTGATAAAACGGGGGTCAGACCAGTGGGGTCAGATTGGTGACTTTTGAATCGACTCAGAAGTCACCTACTCTGCGCTGCCAGAGCTGTTCATTTCTATTCAGATCAGTGAGGTCAGCTTGTAAACTGTAAGAGGTGGGATTCCAGGGAAGTGCGGGAACCCCTGTTAAAGCCCAAGACCTGAATTACAAAAAAAAAAAAGGCAAACTGTGCACACTTTGCCTCCCGAACCCAAAGTTGACCTCCCGAGCCAGGATGGTAACAAAAAAACGTCGCATCCCAAGAAGACTGAGTCGTAGAGCAGAACGCGTCCGCTTGGCGAGAGTTTCAACCACCTTTCCTGAAGGAGGAAGGGAACTGCCTGTGCACAGTTTGCCGAACAATGGTAATTCAGGAATGCTTGTGCGGCTATTACGCGAAACGCAAAGCTCTGTCAGTGGCATAGGCAGGACCTTCAACCCCGTTGCAACACTTGCTTTGCCCTCATCCCAAGCTTGACATGCGCAAAGCGTGTCCTTTTTCCACGTCGAAATTAGTGCCGTGAAAGGTAATTTAGCTATCCCTTCACATCGTCCACCCCCTTGACGCACCGTCGCCCTCGCATCCCCCGTTTCCCCATCGCCCTTGCCCTCCCAACGCCCTTACCCCGGTCCCCTCTCGTCGATTTCTTGTCAACGTCGTGGGGCCACATTCCGACGCTTCGTACACCACTCCGCGCTCCTCTCGCCTCACGGTGCGCGCTCCTCTCGCCTCCCCGCGCGCGCTCCTCACGCCTCCCCGCGCGCGCTTCTCTCGCCTCCCCGCGCGCGCTCCACCCCGCGCGCGCTCCTTTCGCCTCCAGCGCCGCATCTTCCCGCCTCCCCGCGCGCGCTTCTCTTGCCTCCCCGCGCGGCCTCCTCTCACCATCGCCAGCGTGCTCTGCTCGCCATGGCCTCGCGTGCTCCTCTCGCCTTGATAGCGCGCGATTCTGTCGCCTCCCCGCGTGGCCTCCTCTCACCATCCCGCGCGTGCTCCTCTCGCCTCCCCTCGCATGAGAGGCGAGCCTTTATAGCGCGCGCTTCACTTGCCTCCCCGCGCGGCCTCCTCTCACCTCCCCGCGCATCCTCCTCTCGCCGCCTCACGCGTGCTTCTCTCGCCTCCCCGCGCGAACTCCTCTCGCCTCCCCTCGTGTGCACCTCTCACCCCCCCTCTACCGCCCTTCTTTCCTCCCCGTGCAGCCTCCTCTCACCTCCCTGCGCGTGCTCCACTCGCCTCCCCTCGCGTGGTCCTCTCACCTCACCTTGTGTGCTCCTCTCGCCCCCCCACGCGTGCTCCTCTCTCCCCATCTTGCGTGCTCCTCTCGCCTCCCCACGCGTGCCCTCTACGATGCGTGAGGGGCTTCACCTCCCGTCTCCTCACTGCCTCTCTGCGTCTCGCGACAGCCTCTGTTCGCGTCGCTGATCGCAAATATTGCCCTTGGCCCCTGCTCACACTCTTGCAACGGCTGTGCTTCCGCATCCCCTCTGCACGCCCTCTTTCCCCCTCTTCCACGCCCTCATTTCCCACCCTGCTTGCCCACGTTTCCCCACTTTGCAGTCCCTCACAAGCCCTCGGTGCAGGCCCTCTCGCCTCCCGTGCTCCACTCCGGAATGTGGGACGCTCCTCTCTCCTCACCTCCCGTGCTCCCCTCTGACAGGTGGGGTGCTCCTCTCTCCTCACCTCCCGTGGTCCACTCTGACAGGGCATGGTGCTCCTCTCCTCTCGCCTGCAGTGCTCCACTCTGGAATGTGGGATGCTCCTCTCTCCTCACCTCCCGTGCTCCACTCTGGAATGTGGGAAGCTCCTCTCTCCTCACCTCCCGTGCTCCACTCTGACAGGTGGGGTGCTCCTCTCTCCTCACCACCCGTGCTCCACTCTGACATTTACTGGGTGCTCCTCTCTCCTCACCTCCCGTGCTCCACTCTGACAGGGCAGGGTGCTCCTCTCTCCTCACCTCCCGTGCTCCACTCTGACAGGGCAGGGTGCTCCTCTCACCTCACCTCCCGTGCTCCACTCTGACAGGTGGGGTGCTCCTCTCTCCTCACCTCCCGTGCTCCACTCTGACAGGGCAGGGTGCTCCTCTCTCCTCACCTCCCGTGCTCCACTCTGACAGGTGGGGTGCTCCTCTCTCCTCACCTCCCGTGCTCCACTCTGAGCAGGTGAGCTTTCACTCTTCAATGAGCCTCCGTGCTGCTGAGGTGACTTGTGAGCCGACTCAAAAGTCACCCCGTGCTGCTGAAGCCCGCTGCTGCTCGCTGGGCGCTCGTGTTTGTCGGGGTTTCTGTTAATTCCGCACTCTGAGTGCCTCTACCATGCAGTCCGTTCAGCATCACTCACCGTGATGATGTGCACACGTGTGGGTGTGTGTTTGGGTGGCAAGGGTCAGCTTCAACACCACCTCTAAACTCAACTGCCCCCCCCACCCATTCCATAGTGCAGTGCCGCACACATGGCAATAGCCAGCTGTAGAGTCACCTTTGAATCCATCACGTATGGCTCCACGACGCCGACCAGCGAGCACGACGCCATTTTGTCGTCTCGCCCCTTGCCGCCTGCAACGGAGTCGGCGTCCTTCGCCGAAGTCGATGCCTTCGTCGACTGTTTCTCCTTGCGCGGATGATTTCCTCCACGACGAGGACGACGGCTGCCAGACCTCCCGCGGCCGCCCGTGTCGTCGTCGTCGGAGTCACTGCGGTCGGGACAATCGAAGGAGAGGTGATCGGGGCTGTGGCAGATCCAGCACTCCCGACGTCGACCTCCTCCTCCTCGACCGCCGTCCTTGGTCGACTTCTTCTCGACCTCCTTGGTCGACTTCCAGCTACCGCTCCCGCCGCCACCAGACTGTCCGCGGTGTCCTGGTCGGCCTCCTTGTTTCGCAGGGGCGACGAAGTTGGCCTGCGCCAAGAGCTCCTGCGATCGCTCAGCCTCCTGCATCGCCTCGTCCTGCAGGATGTATGAGGTCAGGTTGTCCTCGTTGAGCATCGCCCTTGTGCTCGGCGCCATAGACAGCCGCTTCAGCAGGTTGTAGCTGCTAGAGAGACCCTGCATGACATGGGTGATGTACGACGCCGTGGAGTACTGCGCGCCGACCATCCTGATGGTGGCGAGAATTCGCCTGGCTCGGTTGCAGTAGTCGGTCGCACTCTCCTCGTCGCCCATACGCAGGTGTGTCAGCTGTCCCTCCAGCTGGGCGATGAACAGGTCGTCGGTGACCTGGTACGTCGACTCAATGAAGTGCCACGCCCAGTGGCCAGCGTCGAGGTACTCCCGGCACCACTTCAAGGCGATCTGCACGCCCGGCGAGCAGCACCGCGAGATGACCGTGAAGGTCAACAGCTCCACGGCGCGAAACTCCGCACGCAGGTCGGGGTGGTGCTCACTCGGCGTCGCCACGGTCCCTCGGGCGAAGCCGATCAGCCCGGCCATCTCCAGCTGGGGCTCGATGGCTTCCTTCCAGGTGAGAATGTCGGGTCGACCGACCAGCGGAGGGGTGACCGAGATCCTGTCCGGCGTAAACTTGAAGTAGCCGTAGCTCGGTGCAATCCCACCTGCCGTCACCTGGGACGCCGTCATCGGCGACAGCCTACTTCGACGCCCACCGTCGTCACCATGTGAGGAGCCCGCAGCCACCGACGACTGCATCCCTCTCGCCTGAACGCCGCCGGCTTCACTGGCGTGTATCACACCTCGTTGCCTCGACGTGCCTCCCACACTGCTGCCGACCTGACCTCCACCGGCGTTGACGCCCACATCGACGCCGCCGTCGTTGTTCACCGGTCGAGGAGAGGCAGGTCGAGAAGGGGGATGCTCCGCCGACCACACGGAGCGGAGTCCGGCCTCGACGACTGCCCAGGGTATCGCCCCATACTCCTGGGCCTCATGGCGTCTCCTCGCATCCTCCAGCCGTCCCTCCAGGGTGTCCATCACCTCGGCGTCGCCTACGCGCACGCTAGTGACTTCACGGCTGCCGGTCTACGAACACGATCGGTATGTGCTAAGTCGGCTAGACTGAACTACGTCGCGTGTTCGATCCACGCTCACCGCACCATGAGAAGATAACTACTACAACGGGAGCTTAGAGTACTGGCTAGGCACGTGTGCTCGTGTGATGTCTGCGTTCGTTGGTCCTTAGACGTTTTCCTAGTGCTCACACTGGTTGCTAGTTCACGGGGCAATTTGGCAAGAGTTTCACTAGAGAAAGTTGTCAATAATGGTCCAATAAAGTTGGCAATGCAAGACTACATCAGAGCTAGCATTCAGGTTGGTCGACTGCCAGCACAGCATGGTCGACCGCGTTCCAGCACGACTTGGTCGACCACGCTACAACAGTGCAAAGTCGACAGCTTGCCAACGCTGCAGGTTGACGGTGTGCCAGCATTGCTCACGCAGGACAGCAGTGCACCCGCTTTGCAGGTGCACGCAGATGATTGGCATGCAAAGTCTCGTCACCTGCACAGCGCACACACCACGTCAACCTCGGGCTAGCGACTGCCTCTGATCCGCCACGACGACCTCGGGATACCACCATGGAGGTCGGTCTCGCCAACTTCGCCTGGGTGACCGTCGCACTCCTTCGCAGAAACTCGTCACCCAGGTATCCTGGTCGACCGGGCAACTATGTCGACCAGCTGCTCCTGTATGTGCTCGTCGACCTCCCAAGTCAACAACCACACCAGGTCGACCTCACCAGGTCGACCACTCCTCCGGTCGACCAGATCCAGGTCGACGTCACTCCTGGTCGACCAGTGCAGTTGTCACCTACCCAAGTCGGCGTCACCAGGTCGACGCCCCTTCTACGTCGGCGCCGACTTCCAGACTGACCTCTTGAAGTTGGCGACCTCCCAAGTCGGTGACCTTGCAAGTCGGCGCCGACTTGCAAAGTCGGTGACCTTGCAAGTCGGTGACCTTGCAAGTCGGTGACCTTGCAAGTCGGTGACCTTGCAAGTCGGTGACCTTGCAAGTCGGTGCCGACTTCCAGGTCGACGTGCCACATCGCCGACCACCAGTTGAAGTCGGCCGCTGGCTTCCCAAGTCGGCGGTATTGCAGTGGCGCCGTGCAAGTCGACCAACCCCGTCGACCAGCTCGTCCAAGTCGGCGTCGCCCACTGCTGCAAGTCGGCTGTACCTTCCGTACACCCCACCACGAAGTCGGCTCCGCCCAAGCGTGGACGGGGCCAACACACAACTCCCGTTGACACGTGCGCCCCGTGGCACGCGACGGTGCCCTGCCCGTCGTGCGCCCCGTGGTGTGCAACGGTGCACTACCTACCTACCTACATGAGCCGCCGCGTACCCGCCCCTGGCGCACTCGGCGGTGTCTCACTCGCGCCTCCACTTGCTGCAGCCGCCCCTGCACCACCCGGCGCCTGCCCTTGGAGCAGTCGCCCTCGCTCCTGCACTCGGTGCAGCCGCCTCTACCTCTCCCCGCGCCTGCACTCCCTGCAGCCGCCCCTGACCTACCCGCGCCGACCAACTGTAGCCGCTCTGCGGCTTTCTCCCCGCCCACCCCCTCCTCCTTCGTTTCCCTGCAGCCGTGGGGGGGAGGGTATGGGGGTGGCGGGTGTTGGGGTGATGGGTGGTATGCTTCCCTTCCCCTCCTCCTCCTTTCTTTCCCACTGCTGCAGCTGCCGCTGGGGGGAGGGTGTGAGGGTGTGGGGGAGCTGGGGGAGTCGCATTGGGATGGCGGGTGTGAGACCAACTTCCCTTCCCCTCCTCCTCCTCCTTTCTTTCCCGCTGCTGCAGTTGCCGCTGGGGGGAGGGTGTGAGGGTGTGGGGGAACTGGGGGAGTGGCACTGGGGTGGCGGGTGTAAGACCATCCAGCAGCCGTCCCTCCACCTCTCCTCTCTTCCCCCCTCTGCTGCTTCTGCAGCAGTGTGGGGGGGAGGGGGAGGGGGAGGGTGAGGAGATAGCAGGAATTCTTGCTATACCTTTGCTGCTGTACTACCTACCTACCTACCTGCTGCTGCTGCTATTTGTGTACCCCTGCAGGTTGTGTTCTGCACAAACTCCTGCTGCAGGCAGTTATGGGGGAGTGTCAGAGTTTATATCTGTAACTGCATGTAGCTATAGTTAGTGTAGTTATTACAAACTGTGTTAGGTGGTGCACCTTTGTTCACTTGCATATATGTGATTGCAAATCTATAGTGAACACAACATTCTTCCCAAAATTCTCTCGACACCCTTGGCACAACCAACTCGATCCTCCTTGGCCTAGGCTACTAAGCCTAGGCCGAACTATTCTCTAACTACCTATTGTACTAGTTTCACGACAAAAGCGCCGGCGCTTCTATCTGGAGCCATGCGCTTATGGCCGGTCCTCAATTATAAGCCCCCTTTCCCAAAAACCTTTACTTATTATAAGCGCACGTACAATATTAATTCAAAATCGTGCTCAAAACATCTAATTTCATTCTCGCTTGGTTTGACTCGCAAAGACCTGACTAGCTTCGCGTCCAGTCAGGATGAGCTAGCAGAATATGTCTTAGTTGGCAGAATATCGCTTCCGCGCGAATCTGCTTGGTGACTCCAAAAAAAATCGACTCGGTTGAAATGGCAAGAAGTAGATGTACAATTTGGTGCTCTACAAATATATTTTTGTGATTGTCATTATATAAGAGCATGCGCTTATGCCCTAGACTCAATTACAAGCGACCCCCCCCCTCCCCCCCCCTAAATTATTTAATTTTATTATGAGCGCATATGCGCTACTATCCGGGGTGATACGGTACCTTCTGCCCAGCTAACCTGGGAAGGGAACTATGGTACTGTCAAATATTGTAGCCTGTAGTGAGGTTTGTCTTAGGGGGTACAAATACTAGGGTTTGCTATATGTACCCCAACCCTCATCAATAACAGAACACTTTGATTCTTGACGTGGTATCACCTAGGTTAAGATCGTGTGGGATCCCGCTCCTCCCATCCTCGTTCGTTCCGCCCGAGCCTGTCTCACTCTCTCGTACTAGTCGTACCCGTCTTGCCCGAGCCTAGCGCCGGCCCGATCCTGTCTCGCTCTCTCGTACTAGTCGTACCCGTCTAGCCCGAGCCTAGCGCCGGCCCGATCCAGTCTCGCTCGTTCGTTAGCGCCCGCTCCGCCGACCTGCTTTCCGCATAGCATAGCGACTTCCCCCCCACCTGCCCGTCGCGTCGCGCTCTCCCCGGCTTCCCGTCCCGTCACGCCCTCCCCCGCTGCTCGTCGTGACGTGCCCTCCCACCCTGCTCGTCGCGTTGCGTCCTCCCCCCGCTGCCCTAAATGCCCTGGTTTTCGCCACTGCTGACAGGGTTGCCTTGACAGACGTGAAGTCTGAACTGCAGAAGAGACACACGTGCACTGACCTTGGTGAGCTGCGCCACTACCTTGGCCTGCAGATCACCAGGGACAGAGCTGCTCGCACCATTACACTCTCACAGTCACACATAGTGCAGCATGTTCTTCGGCGGTTTGAGCTTCAGCACTCCACAGTATAGCGCACACCTCTTGCTATTGACCACAGACTTATTGGACCCTTTCTTGACCAGCCGTTTGAGTCTAGTGGTCCCTACGCAGAGCTGGTGGGCTGCCTCATGTACCTGATGACTTGTACTCGCCCGGACCTCACCTTCCCTCTCAGCATCCTTGCTGGCTTTGTTGCACCAGGGAGACACCAACCTGTTCACTGGACGGCAGCTGTGAGGGTGGCGAAGTACCTAGTGACGAGATCAGGCGTGGGGCTAGTTCTTGGAGGGCAGCAGTCTGTCGTACTCACTGGTCACTGTGACTCTTCTTACGCTGACGACGCTGAGACTCACAGGTCTACTCAGGAATACTGTTTCAGCTTGGGTTATGGAGCTGTTTCGTGAAGGTCCACGCGCTCCTCTTCGGTCTCGACCTCTACTGCTAAGGCTGAGATCTACGCTGGTGCCATGGCGGCACAGGAGCTGCGTTGGTTGACCTTCTTGCTCGCCGACCTTGGTGAGCGGCCGAGCTCTGCATCGACCTTGTTCACGGACAAGGCGTTGATTTTCCTCTGTTGAGAGCCGTGTCTGGAGAGCAGAGTAAAGCACATTAACGTCAGTTACTTTCTTCTGCGTAAGTTGCAGAGACGTGGACAGGCTCGCTTCGAGCTTGTGGAATCCGAGTCCAACACTGCAGACATCTTCACCAAGGAGCTTCCGCCTTGTGACCACCAGAGGTGTTGTGTGCAGTTAGGTCTTGTTGACACAGGTTCTAGTCGTGTGTAGGCTTGAGTTTACTGTTTGCTTTGCTTGTACTCTTGCCATGCACCTTTGTGAACTCTTGGACTAGCCTTGTGGCCCCTGTTGCTTGTGCTCAGATTATGTGGTGACGTTGTGATCCACCCTTAGCTTTGTTTATTTGTGACTGGTCTTGTGGCCGTACACTTTTGGTTTTGCTTGACACCCCTCACTTAGGCTATGGGGGTGTGTCAAATGTTGTAGCCTGTAGTGAGGTTTGTCTTAGGGGGTACAAATGTTAGGGTTTGCTATATGTACCCCAACCTTCATCAATAACACAACACTTTCATTCTTGACAGGTACGTATGCCTGATTTAGTGAAACACAGCCTACGAAGGAAAAGATTATGCAAGGATGTGGAGGAAAACGTAACAACTAGCCTAGTGGTGCCATACAATCTAAATGCCTTGTAGGGTTGAACAAGGGAACAATATTTAATCACTAGTCAGCAATACTAAGAGCATGGATAAGCATTTCACTGAAGCATGGCAGAAAAATATGTACAAGCGACGTCACCAGGCCAGGTTCTTCGCTTTTACGCTGACGGTAGACCGCTCGAGTTTCCGGTCTGACTCCTACGCGCGCGTCGCCTTTTAGAGAGTCATGTTCAGGCGGGCGAATCCCTTTGGGCGCACGCTACTAGTGACCTTCCAGCGCCTGACGACCCTACGCCTTTAGGCATCACCCCCGACGACGCAGCCAGGGACCGCTTTACCCACGAGGGTGCTGACATGACGGCGTGGAAGTCGCGTGATGCTGCGGCCTGCATCGCTCTTAGCAGCCTCCTCCCTGAGTCTGAGAAGGCCCACGACTGCAATTAAGGCCCGCTACGCTACTCCCACCAGTGTCTCCTTGGCCGCCTCTTCCTACCGTTCTTGTTCCCAGACCTCGCTTCGTTTGAGCGCTCTGCTGACTTGATTGCTCACCTCCGCTCGCTCGATTCTAGCTACCACGCTGCTTGCACTGACGCACAGCTTGCACTGCTCCCTCCCCCCATGGCGATTACTATCTACTTCATCGCCACAAGCCTCCGTGACCGCCTTGCCTCGGTTCGTGACGCGCTTCTCCTAAAGCACCCTAGTGAGCTCACTATCGAGGTCCTAGAGTCTGCGCTCAAGGACGTCGAGAGCAACCTGCGCTTAGTAGCCTCCGCCTCTGGTGCTGTGCCCCCTCTACTGTTTCACGGGTGCACTGTCCCTCAGCTGCCTAGTTTTACTCCCTCCCTAGCCAATGCCACCACTGACGTGACCGCTGCTGCTGTTACGGCTTCGTCGCGTTCTCGGGGTAGGGGTGGCAAGAGGGGCGGCCAGGGTACAGGTGGCAGCGGCGGTGGAGGCGTTGGCGGCGGAGGTGGCGGGCGTGGCGTGCCGACTGGTGGCGGAGGGAGCGCAGGGCCTGGAGAGGCGTCTCGTGCAGCGGTTAGTGACTCCCCTACTGCAGCTGGTGGAGGCGACACCCGGGCTCGTCAGCCACCTTCTGGTCTGCCGGCTGCGGCGGGCGGAGCAGTGGCGTGGTACCTGACCCAGCGGCAGCACCAGCCCCTCCCCTCGCAGCAGCCCTCGCAGCAGCAGCGGCAGCAGCAGGTTTCAGGGCCAGGACAGCGCCAGCCCCAGCGAGGTTTTGTTCACCCTTTGTGCACCTATCAGGTTCTGACAGGTGCTCGCCGAGGCCAGCCTTGTGGCCGCGCCCACCCTCCTGGTCAGTGTTTTGCTCAGCTCACTGACACAGTTCGCTTGGCCTTCGGTGTTGGCGACCCTGCCCTTGACTGGTTTCCTCTTGTTCAGACGTACGGCTCCGCTCTTTGGGGCATGTCGGCTTCTCAGTTGCTTGATCTCTTAGGAACTCCTCATGCTATGTATGCTGTTGTTGACTCTAGTGCTTCTGACTCTGTTTACTCGAGTGTTGATAGCTTAGGTGCTAGTCTTGTTGAGTTGCCTGTTGCTAGTATAGGCACTTGTGTAGACACTAGTCCAGGAGCTACTTCGGAGGACACTTCGCTGTCTTTCACTTTGGACTATGGGGTTTCGCACTGCTTCTTCCGGAACCACACGACACTTACTCCGCTTCCTGCGCCGGTCTCTGTGGCTCTGGCTGATCCCACCTCGGGACCAGTCACTGCTCGCTACACTACTACTCTTCCGTGCCCTACTGTTCTCTCTAGGTCTCTGACTGGCTTCCACGTCCCCTCGTTGCTCGCGGAACTTGGTGGGCGTGAGGCCTCTTGTGAGTCAGCACGTGGGTGTGTGGATTGAGCCCTCTGGTGAGACGGCGGTTTGTGTTGATGGAGACACTTACACGCCTCTTGCCACCTTTATAGCTGAGCCGGGCTCTAGTCTCTACACACGTCACACTAGCTCTGGTGGGCATCAGCAGCAGCAGCCGCAGCAACAGCGACTACTATCCCGGGCCCCTGTTCCCTCCCCCAGTCTGGTCCCTGCGTCTCACCAGGTTGCTGCGCCCCCTCACGCAGCTATGTCTGGTCAGGTTCCCGTGTCTAGTCCAGTTGCTGCGTCATGCTCCTGCCGGTCACTTGCCCACCCCACCGTTCCGTGGCACCATCGGATGGGGCACCCGTCTCTTCCTCGTCTGCGTGCTATGTCTTGTCAGCGTCTTGTCTAAGGCCTCCCACGTGTCTTGCCGTCTTTGCTTGCACCACCGTGTGGTCCCTACGTCGAGGGTAGGCTGCGCGCCACCCCTCAGTCCTCCTCCCTTCGTCCGGCCACCAAGCCTTTTGAGACGCTCCACTTGGACATCTGGGGCCTCGCCTCTTGCCTTGGCCCTGAGTGTGAGCGTTTCTTTTTGGTGGTCGTTGACGACTACTCCCGCTACACCACAGTGTTTCCCCTTGCAAAGAAGTCTGAGGTGACTTCTACGCTGATTAGGTGGTTGCTTACCACTGAGGGCACTCGTGGTCGTCGACTCAGCTGTCTTCACTCCGGTCGTGGGGGTGAGTTTCACTCCGGGATTCTCACTGGATTGTGTCGCGAGCAGGGCATTCGTCAGTCTTGGACGCTTCCACAGTCCCCACAGCAGAATGGGGTTGCTGAGCGCCGCATAGGCTTGGTCATGGAGATCGCCCATGCCCCCCATTTTCTGTGGCCCTACGCGGTTAGGTACGTCGCTCACCAGCTGAACCTCTGACCATGTGTCTCTCAGCCAGAGGTTTCACCGACTAGTCTTTGGACCAGGTCCCCTGGTGTTGCGTCGCGATTTCGTGTCTGGGGTTGCTTGGCTCTTGTACAAGATCTCGCCTCGCGCCGTTCCCTGTGCCTTCCTTGGTTTCCCAGAGGACTCCTCTATCTTCACCTTTTACCACCCTCCCCTTCACTGGTTCTTTGACTGCCGTGACGTTAGTTTTGACGAGTCCGTCCCCTAATATGTTAGGTACCCCTGCCGAGGTCTCCCGGTTCCTCCTCCCCCTCTCTTCCTGACTTCCTCTCCCCCTCCTGCTCCCCCGATACAGCCTCCCCCCCTGATCCAGCCCCGTCAGGTGTGTCCCACGCTAGCCCTCCCCCCTCGGTAGCCCCTCAGGTACAGCCTCCTTCCCCGCAGTCCTCCTCGCAGCCTGCGGCAGACCCTGCGGGAGGCGGTGTTTTTGGCAAGGACCTTGTTGGTGCTAGCTCTGGGGATGCTGGAGTTGGGGCTGAGTCCGAGGCTGCAGGAGACTCTCGTCTTCCGGGAGCTGGTGTAGGTGGTGCTGACTCTAGGGGTGCTACGTCTTGGGGTGCGGGTGCGCCCCCTTTGGGTCCTTGTGAGCCTGGCCGTGATGGTGTTGGTGGTTTTGGCTCTCAGGGTGGTGCGCCGGGTGCTTTGGAGGGTGGTCCTGGGGCTGCCACGGCCCCGGACACTACTCCTCCCCGCCACCCCTACCCGACCCGGCACCAGGCTCGCGTTCGCCGCTGGAGCAGCAGCAGAGGCTAGAGGAGCAGCAGCAGCAGCAGCAGCAGGAGCAGCAGCAGCAGTGGCAGCTGGAGCGACCGCCACTAGAGGAGCAGAGGTCGCAGCCGCACCAGGAGCAGCAGCAGCCGCCACCTCCTCCTCCTATCTCAGGTCTTTGGATCCTTGGTCTCCCCTCTCTCTCTCCTTCCTCCTCCCCCTCTCTTCTTGTCAACGGTCCCACGTTTCCTTCTCCTGACTCCTCCCCAGCTGTTCTCCCTCGTTCTCCGACTCCGTTGTCTCCTTCTCCTTTGCCCGCCTGGCCCTCTCGTTGCTCTCCTCGTGCTCGTCCCTCGTCCCCTGTCGCTCTCACTTACCTTCGTACTACCCTGTTCCGTCCTAGTCCGCCTCGTTCATCTCAGTCTGTGCTTCCTTCTCCTCCTGAGTCGGCCTTCACTGCTTCCCTCTCTATTCCTGTCACTGACTACTACCGCACGTACCGACCTGTTCTCCCTCGTGTTCTCGCCTCTCTTGTTACGGACCCTCGTGCCTCTCTGTCCTCTATCTCCGCCCATACTGTCGCCGTCACTGAGTTCGCCACTACTCGCCACCTTGACTACGCCACTTGTCTCGTCGCTGCTCCTCCTACCAGTCCTCTGGCCGTCGGGGGTGAGTCTGTCCTTGGGTGTGACGCCCTAGAGGACAGGCAGTTTGAGCTAGAGTTCCTGGCAGCCGCTTCCCCTCATCTTTTTGCCATGCTGCTCTCCCCTGAGGGAGACCTAGACGCCCTTGACATACCGACTCTTCGCACTTACGCTGAGGCAGTGTCAGGGCCTTGGGCCTCTAAGTGGAGAGCTGTCATGGACGCAGAGATGGCCTCCTACAGATCCACAGGCACCTACGTTGACGAGGTTCCCCCCCCCCCCCCCAGGGCGAACGTAGTTGATGGCATGTGGATCTATAGGGTGAAGCGGCCACCGGGATCTCCTCCGGTCTTCAAGGCGCACTATGTGGCTAGAGGTTTTAGTCAACCCGAGGGAGTTGACTTCTTTCAGACCTTCGCGCCTACCCCGAAGATGATCACTCTTCGGGTGTTACTACACGTAGCAGCACAGAGAGACTACGAGTTACACTCTCTCAACTTCTCCACTGCTTTCCTTCAGGGTAGCTTACATGAGGAGGTATGGCTGCGTCGTCCCTCTACCTTGACTGGCACTTTCCCTCATGGGACCCAGTGGAGGCTGAGGCGACATGTCTATGGTCTTCGTCAGGCTCCTCGTGAGTGGCACGACACCCTTTGTTCTACCCTCTCTAACCTTGGTTTCCAGCCGTCTTCTGCCGACCCGTCGCTGTTCGTCCGTCGTGGCTCCACACCATTCTTTGTTATGGTCTACGTCGACGACCTGGTTTTCGCCACTGCTGAAAGGGTTGCTTTGACAGACGTGAAGTCCGGACTGCAGAAGAGACACATGTGCACTGACCTTGGTGAGCTGCGCCACTACCTTGGCCTGCAGATCACCAGGGACAGAGCTGCTCGCACCATTACACTCTCACATTCACACATGGTGCAGCAGGTTCTTTGGCGGTTCGAGCTTCAGCACTCCACAATATAGCGCACACCTCTTGCTGTTGACCACAGACTTATTGGACCCATTCTTGACCAGTCGTTTGAGTCTAGTGGTCCCTACGCAGAGCTGGTGGGCTGCCTCATGTACCTGATGACTTGTACTCGCCCGGACCTCGCCTTCCCTCTCAGCATCCTTGCTTGCTTTGTTGCACCTGGGAGACACCGTCCTGTTCACTGGACGGCAGCTGTGAGGGTGGCGAAGTACCTAGCGACGACATCAGGCGTGGGGCTAGTTCTTGGAGGGCTGCAGTCTGTCGTACTCACTGATCACTGTGACTCTTCTTACACTGCCGACGCTGAAACTCACAGGTCTACTCAGGGGTATTGTTTCAGCTTGGGTTCTGGAGCTGTTTCGTGAAGGTCCACGCGCTCCTCTTCGGTCTCGACCTCTACTGCTAAGGCAGAGATCTACGCTGGTGCCATGGCGGCACAGGAGCTGCGTTGGTTGACCTTCTTGCTCGACGACCTTGGTGAGCGGCCGAACTCTGCACTGACCTTGATCACTGACAACAAGGCGTCGATTCTCCTCTGTCAAGAGCCGCGATTGGAGAGCAGAGTGAAGCACATTAACGTCAGTTACTTTCTTCTGCGTAAGTTGCAGAGACGTGGACAGGCTCGCTTCGAGCTTGTGGAATCCGAGTCCAACACTGCAGACATCTTCACCAAGGAGCTTCCGCCTTGTGACCACCAGAGGTGTTGTGTGTAGTTAGGTCTTGTTAACACAGGTTCTAGTCGTGTGTAGGCTTGAGTTTACTGTTTGCTTTACTTGTATTCTTGCCATACACCTTTGTGAACTCTTGGACTGGCCTTGTGGCCCCTGTTGCTTGTGCTCAGATTTTGTGGTGACGTTGTGATCCACCCTGAGCTTTGTTTCTTTGTGACTGGTCTTGTGACCGTACACTTTTGGTTTTGCTTGACACCCCTCACTTAGGCTATGGGGTGTCAGAATCCCAACCACTAGACCATTGGGATAAAAGGGCTTGTTTCAGTAGCGGGTCAGTGCGCCCATAACCCCCCGGGCAAACGCGCCTGTAACCCCCCCTAGGATCGATCGGGGATCTCACAGTGTAGCTCTACTGACACCCCCCCACACTGGGAGGCCCAGGATTGAGCACAGTGGCAACGGCCAACATGTGCATACACCGGGATTCGAACCCGAGACCGCTCTGATACCATGCCAGAATCCCAACCACTAGACCATTGGGATAAAAGGGCTTGTTTCAGTAGCGGGTCAGTGCGCCCATAACCCCCCATGCAAACGCGCCTGTAACCCCCCTAGGATCGATCGGGGATCTCACAGTGTAGCTCTACTGACATGGGGGTGTGTCAAATGTTGTAGCCTATAGTGAGGTTTGTCTTAGAGGGTACAAATGTTAGGGTTTGCTATATGTACCCCAACCCTCATCAATAACACAACACTTTCATTCTTGATAGGTACGTATGCCTGATTTAGTGAAACACAGCCTACGAGGGAAAATTATATGCAAGGATGTGGAGGAAAACGTAACAACTAGCCTAGCGGTGCCATACAATCTAAATGCCTTGTAGGGTTGAACAAGGGAACAATATTTAATCACTAGTCAGCAATACTAAGGGCATGGATAAGCATTTCACTGAAGCGTGGCAAAAAAGTATGTACAAGCGACGTCACCAGGTCAGGTTCTTTGCTTTTACGCTGACGGTAGACCGCTCGAGTTTCCGGTCTAGCTCCTACGCGCGCGTTGCCTTTTAGAGAGTCACGTTCAGGCGGGCGAATCCCTTTGGGCGCACGCTACTGGTGACCTTCCAGCGCCCGACGACCCTACGCCTTTAGGCACCGCCCCTGACGGCGTAGCCAGGGCCCGCTTTACCCGCGAGGGTGCTGACATGACGGCGTGGAAGTCGCGTGACGCTGCGGCCTGCATCGCTCTTAGCAGCCTCCTCCCTGAGTGTGAGGAGGCCCACGACTGCGATTAAGGCCCTCTACCAAGGCACGGCGATGCTAGGGTTAGCGAAGTTTGGTCTCTTTCGGTAGACGACATGGCCTCACATGTACGGAGACAACACTTACGTGAGGGTTGGAAGGAAAACAAGATCTGAAGACTTACTGCTTGCTGGTTGGGTTATGTGTTCCACAACGAATCTCACGTCTGCTTGCTTAATTGACGAGAGTCTGAAACAACAGGAGGTCTCCGAGACTCGGAAACGAGGTCCCTGAGAATCTCAGGCCTTGGCCTTACGAGAACTGCTCCTTCGGTTCTCTTTTCATCCCATATGTTGTGCTGTTTCCCCATAATTACGTCCCTCCTCCCCTCGTCTCTTTGTTCCTAGTATGAAGAAGCAAATAAGGGAATCGGTCATTTTGAGGCGCCTGAAAAGCAAAGCAGGCCTGGTAGCCCGTTCGCCCAGAAACACCTGGATGCTATCCTCTTTGGGGCCCTCAAAATGTCTAACACCGCGCAGAGGGGAAGCGGTCCTTCGTTTTCCGTGCACCCAGCTACACCTGGACTGTCCTTGTAGGTTCATGTTCTTAGTCTTGACATGTCACACAGCCACGGCTTGTCGTGTGAAACTGTCACGTAAGTCATCCGCTTCTTCCGTTGGTCTGCTTTTCTTGCATTGCATGAGTTCTAATTTTATGTAACTACACATCTCCCCA